ATCATTATAAAAACCACTTCTCACCTATAATAAATCACACCACCATCGGATTTGTATATCAATTTGTAGTGTAGGGGCTAGACGTTATTATGGTTTGATATGCAATAACCCGCCACCACAATAAGCTGCCGCCACAAAAGGGCACTATCAAGACCAACCAATATCACCCACAAACCCGTCAGAACAACATCTAGGCCAATTCCTATTGGATGTGTAATGTGCGCACCTGTTCAGCCTGATATAAGCAGCGCACAATTCAAAACATTTTGTAGTAGTTCTGAAGCAAACTCTTAAATTTCTTCCAGTATTATAAAAGATGCAGCAAGATTTTTGTGCAATAGTTTCCCTCATTTTTCGGTGGGGGGGGGGGGGGGTAGATTTTTGGAAATGTCCTACATGTTGCTACTGACAAGTCCTTGGTCGATATTGGTTGGACGTGAAAGGCCCTCTTGCGGCGGCGGGTTTAACCCTAAAGGGAGCAACTCTTCATGAACATACCCAAGAAATTTCATGACCAAAGGTCAAAGGGTTTTGGAATTATGGCTAATTAGTTCTTCATATGTATGAATGGCAATTCCGGACTGTGTACACGACGTATTATGGGAAAATTCAGTTTTCCCGGCGCATAGCGTGGGAAAAATTTTCACTGCACAACATCCCCTGGTCCGATTTTTATGTTTTTGGTGTCAAAAGATGCGCAAAGCTCGAGGCTAAAAAGTCATAAAAGTTCGGGTCGTGAAAAAACATTTTTTTAAAGGCTATCACGGAAAAAGTCGAGTTGGGGGCGGATTCCGCCCCCCCCCCCTTTTAGGGTTAAGAAGGCCAAACAAAAAAAAGGAAAAAAGCAGTTATGCTTCCAGTTTCCCTACCTACCCTATTCTGACAGCACCTACTTTAATTTTTTTATGGAAAAAAGGGGAAAGATTCACCCAAAACCATACATTTCTGCCTTTTACCCTTGATTTTATGCAGACGTCTCCTTATCATCGTACACAAAAAAAGTTTTGCCAAATAAAACTTTCCCTTTCTTAAGGCCAAAAAAAATAAGTCTCCGGTTTCTGGTATGGAGCTTGCCCAAAAAGTGGTGCGGCGACGCGGCTTTTTTTTTTTTTACCTGATTTTTTTGCTTCAAAATGTAGGCTGATGACTACAAATGGTGCCCGACTAAACTTAGTGCAAGTATATGGGAGTCCAGAGAGGCCACATAAAGCTTATTCTTGATCATAACCCCATCTAAAAACACATTAAAATTGTGCAGCAGCAGGATTCCAGTCAAACCAGTGAGTTTGGCGGTCTTGAGACATATCTTTTATTGAAAAAAAAACTTTTTCATTTTGTCGACGCGCATGGCTACGGCAACGCGCGCGCATACCAGAAACCAGAGACTTTTTTTTTGGCCTAACCTACCCTATTTTCTAATGCCATGTAATCAGAAGCAGAAACTATTTTGGGGGGCTTATCGCGTATCAAAGTAATCAAACCATATAACAAAGTGTAGCCCCTAGACTAATCAATTTGAAAAGGAAGAGTTACAATGTATACAACACAAACTTGAGACAGGACAATTTGGGAAGGTTAGTGGGCAATCCCTATTCCAAACAAGAAACGTGATAAGTACCAAAATAATATGGCATCCCATTCTACATGAAATCACTTTTTTCCAGAAAGAAAAAAGAGAAAGAGAGAAGAGGCAAGCGGTAAGATTATTGCAATGCCGATTATATAGTGGATATTACAATGGTTTTGGGAAGAAATGTAGAATGCTGGTTCTTATGCTGGCACATTTGACTATTTCCTGACACAAAAGGTGGAAGTTTGTCTATCAGTCAACACTGTGAATGAGTTCTGATTTGACTTTTGACTGACTTGCTATTGACTTCTGAATTGACATTTGACTGACCTGTGATTGTCTTGTGATTGACCACGTGCGATTAACCAAATCTGACGTATTACTTTCACTGATATTTTTAAAAATGTGTTTCACTTGTGATATCACTTCTGACTGACTTATGATTTGACATCTGACTTGTGATTTGATTTTTAAGGCTTACTTTTGATCTGAGCTGTAATTCTACTTTTGATTGACTTTTTATAATAGATTTTGACAGACTTTTGATTGACTTGAGATTTGACTTGTGACTTCACTTAGTTTGGACTGTTACTTAACATTTGGCCTTTGTATTTACATGAATTCACTTTTTTTCCCAGAAGGAGGAAGAAGAGAGGAGGACGAGAGAGAGAGGGGAAGAAAGAGAGGTAAGATTACTGCAATACCAATGTATTGATTTCATTGATTTTTTAACTGAGAAATATTTCCCTTGTGATAGCACCTTTGACTGACATTTGATACGACATTTGACTTGTGATTTGAGATATTATAAAAAGTACCTATCGCCTATAATAAATCACACCACCATCTGGTTTGTAGATATCAATTTGATCAATCACAACTAACCAACATCACCAATGAACCCGTCACAACAATGTCTAGGCCAATTTTATTATGATTTGAAATGTGTATTAGAGAAAAACTCACTTTTTTTCCCGCAGACGGAAGAAGAAGAGAGGCGGAGGAAGAGGAGGAAGGTAAGATGGTTGATATTATACTAATATCAAATTAATATACATATGAAACTGACTTTATACTGACTTGTGATTGAGTTGTGATATGATTTTTGCTAAATCGAAATTGACTTGTGATTGGACTTTCAAATGACTTGTAAGTGACTTGTGATTTGACTTTTGACTGGATTGTGATTGACTTGCGATTTCACTGATTTGACTTTTGATTTTGATAGTGCAGCCAAACCGAACTAAAAATAGCCAAACATGGCCTTCCGAACCAAACCGAACCGAACCGAGCAAAACCGAAATGGTGGGTTCGGAGATTCAGCAACTTTTAGTTTTTTTTATAGTGCTAGCAATGCTAATGGTTGTGATGAAAGGGCAAATTTAAGCACACAGATTGAATTTACAGTGTTAACAAGTTATCTGCATTCATCTTTAATGTTTGGTGGGCTGAGCTCCATGATTGTCTTCGGTGTGTATAATCTGAACTCGACGTAACATTGCTATAATCATTACACCCAAGTGTAATGTACATGTATGTAGACTGATTTTCTGACCTTACAATTTTCAAAGTCTATAAATCGTTCTCAAGGAGAAACAAAATAACACCTCTCTGGTGATTTCAGTGTACTTTTAATTTAAGTTAAAATGGTTCTAAGACTCAACAAGACTGGTTTTTGCCCAAATGCAGCACTTCATCAGTAGTAAGCCCATACCTTTTATTCAGCTATATTTGTGTCAAATGATAGAGTGCATAGGGGTGTGCATTTATACGGGTAGTACAGGAACCAGGTACCCATTAAAAAAACACTATCTCGGAAATTGCTGTTCAGATTGTTCATAAAGAGCTGCACGCTAATACTTTCCCATATCTTTGCGTCAGTATGCAAGTTACAAATGTATGGGATCCATGTGTTAACTAAAGAGGGCGCGCTTTTACCACTTCTGAGAGCCCCTCCCTTCGGATGGGACACTGCGTGTACGCACTGTGCACGACGTTTTTAATCCTGAATGTGCACAAAGACAAGCCACAGTGTCTTCGCGCATGAGCATCAGGACTCGGACTTTGAATACGTTCAAAGACTTGCGATGGTCTCCCAGACTAATCCCCGACCCTAATAACTTTGGATCACTCAAAATACGCAGTGGGTGAATCCTTGATTTACACCATAAACAAATGGTATGTACACGTATATAGTTCTTATCAAGGTTAAGTTACCAACATTTGAAACTAAAAAGAATGTTGTTGAAACATGTATAGGGCAGGGGTTTTTTTGGGGGGGGGGGGGGGGGGTTGGTAGGAATTTTCAAGTTGAATCATATTCCATGAACTGTAAAAGCAATTTATTTGCCATCGCCTTGGAAGGGAAGTTACAAGCAAATTAATGCACAATTCTTTTCAGTTAAAAAAAAACAAAAACAAAAAACAAAGTGAGGTGGTTATACATGTAAATCCAAAAGCTCAATCCATCCACTTCTCAAAATGAGCAAACGTGTTGGAAATTGTGCTCAATACAGATACACTCAATGGACAAATCTTTTTGATCACGTGTTCATCGCGGCAGCATTAATTGACAGTGAAAACATTTACCAGCTGCATCATCACGTGCAGATGAAGATGCCAAAGATGTGTGCCTTTTATATACAAATCATAGAAATAAAAGCTAATTCAGAACAATTACATTGTAAAACAATCATATTCAACAGTTTCATTTATGTAGCCTCTTATGCGATTTCGACTGACCCACTGACCCTCTTTTAAGGCCAAGTAAATATGAGAACCCTAAGATTAACAGACACAATCTGAACGGATACTTTTACAATTGGCTTTTTATCTGGACAAGGCATCCATCATGTTGTCAATCAGTGGTGTTATTTGATATCTTTCTCATTTTTGAATTGCAAGGGAAAAAAATGCTACATAGGCTAGCAAAAAGAGTCCATATGCCATTCAGCATGTCCCTGGCCCTGGGTTCATCTATTCATATCTCTGAGAGGGGTTTCATCGACTGCACTGAACATGTCCCTCAGCTGCTGTAGAACTTTAACTTCCACGACAATAAGTCTCTGAAACAAGTCATATTTTCATAGTTATTTTAACTTCACTATGAAAATTATCCCCTCTGAATTTAATCAGTATTGACTGACCGTTTTTGACTGATGACGTTTTCAAACCAGAAATAACTTTTTGCGCACATAGAATGTTTACTGAAGTTGATCACACCGTTAAAGATTCATTTTTGTAACAAAATAATTGATTGTACTGGATGGGATTTAATTTCGTGATCCTTTGTTAGAACTACATAAACATATTCCTTTAACTGGGCAGTGCATAATGAAAAGGCTGTTCGCCCGACCACTCTGCGTTTGTTGCTCAACAAACACGAACCTCTAGTTAAATATCTATATTTCTCATTTTGTTATTTACTTTCAGCTGGAGGAGGAGGCAGCGGAGGAAGAAGTGGTAAGTGAAATAAGTAAAATAAGTATTTTATTTTTTTATTATTCTTTAGTTGATATATATTTAACGTGTACGTACTGTACATGTAATTCGCGAGCAAAGTACGCACAACTTTAAAATCCTGAATGTGCACAAAGGCACACCACAGTGTCTTCGCGCGTGAGCATCAGGTGTCGGACTTTAAATACGTTCAAAGACTTGCGATGGTCTCACAGACTAATCCCCAACCCTAATAAGTTTGGATCACTCAAAATACGCAGTGGGTGAATCCTTGATTTATACCATAAACAAATGGTGTGTACACATATGTACATTACATTGTGTACCGGTAGGCCTTCATGAGTGTTTAAGAAATGTGCATGCTTACCAACTATACTTGAAACTGTCAATAGTTCTTACCAAGGTTAGGTTAGCAACATTTAAAACCAACAAGAGTGTCGTTGACACATGTATAAGGCAGCGTTTTTGGGGTTTTTGTGGTGGGAATTTTCAAGTTGAATCATATTCCATGAACTGTATAAGCAGTGCATAATGAAAAGGCTGTTCGCCCGACCACTCTGCATTTGTAGCTCAACAAACACGAACCTCTAGTTAAATATCTATATTTCTCATTTTGTTATTTTCTTTCAGCCAGAGGAGGCTGTTGAGGAAGTGGTAAGTGGAGACTTTGAATGCTTTCTTTTTGCTGTTCAGATTTACTGAATATACTGTTCGGTGCAGGGGTGTAAGTGATGCAAGGGTAGCGGGTATATGCCAATAAGGCCTATTAAGGCATCCCGTTTTAATTCTGTGGTTCTAATTTATAACCAATCCTTTTTTTTGGGCTTGATCCCGAATGAAGAAAGCAAATTTTTGTTTTACTTTGACCCACTCTTCAATTTCTTACCAAAAAAAACAGTGGGGTTTAGGTAGTATAAATAATGAATGATTTCTGGGGCATTCCCTAACAAAGGCCAGATTCCTTGTAATTAAAGTTTGTTACATCAGTTTATACCACCTAACTTTATACCACCTAACTTTGTGTTATTTGGTAGAACCCTAATAACTACTTACTCATACAAAAACATACATGCAGGGCTTCAGGCAGAAGGTTTTGATATTGAGGTTTTTTAAGATAAAATGAAGCTGAAATAGACTTCCATGTCAAGAATGCTACTGGGCATTTTTACCTAGATAACCCTGATATTGCCCGCTCAAAAAATTATAATAAATAATATTTCAATCAAAAATATAATATAATTATGTAATTATAACCCTTCATAAGATGGAATTTTGCGTGGGGGTGATGTAAATCAAATGAGGTTTGCCCTTCACCAACGTATAATGACTGTATACTCACCTCCCGAGCGAGTTGCTTTCTAGTGCAGACGTCTTACCACTCAACCATCGAGCATATGGGATCAGTTGACTGGTTTGAATCTAATTTTTTCCCCCCAACTTTCACTTGGGAGGTAACACACTAAGTGTTTATATACATTGTTTACACATCGGTGAAGGGCAAAACAGAATTTGATTAATTAATCCTCCTTAATATATATCGACTAAAGAATAATTCAAATTTTTTAAAAACAATTTGTGTATAAAATAATTTGATGTGATACCCGCTAAACCTTTGAGGGTCATTTTTATTATATCCCTGGCTGTAATCCAGAGGGGGATATTGCGATAGCATATTCCTTCTGTGTGTATATGAGTTTGTTTCTGATTTCAATAGGAGACGTTGAACAATAGAGGACAGTAGGTTCTCAAATTCCCGAGGGCACATTTGACACATTTGATGCACTGGTGCAAAGATTACAAAATGACCTATGCATCTGTCAGAAAATGGCCAAAAAGATGTTCTATTCCTTGGTGCGGATGTTTGTTCAGGATTCTTTAATATTTGGCTGTTTTGGCATTTAACTGAAACAGCCTTTGTTTTTGTTAAGATTTTTAAGTTTTCTTTTTTTCTTCTTTCTTTTTTTTCAGTCATTTTGCCCATAGCATTTGTACACGTTTTTTTCTTCATTCCGATTACTTTTATACTCCGCACACACTTAGACCAGCACCTGAAGTTGTGTGCCGAACATTGACATCATCGTGAGTCGAATGAAGTCACATTATGCAATTTTTCTGTTGTGACCATTTTCTAGCAGAATTCGGCCAGATCTGACAGATTGGGCTATATCTCCAGGTCTACTTCACTCTACTTACCTGTAGAGTAATACTACTTATGCATATTCTCCGCAGGTATTTTCCGCTAAGAGTTATATACAATAGCGCCCTCTGGCGCCCTACCCATAATACCCCGTGGCATGCGTGCCTCGTGAGCGTCCTCTTTTCTCTTAGCGGCAAGTCGGGTAGGACGTGTGTAAAATAGCTCCTGTTTTCCTGGTCAATTTACTCCCCTTTTTCGCTTAAGAGCAGTTTATAATAAAAGAGTTAATAAAACAACAGTTTGTAGAGCTCTCATCATCTTCTTGGTTGTAATTATTTGATTATTATGAAGCGTTTGGGGAGAACCGATCTGTCACAAACCGGGGGGAATTCCTCTCCCACGGGACGGACCGAGTTCTCGGGGGGACTCTGCCGTTAACGCCACGTCATTACCGCGGCAGCAGTCCCTCGTCCAGCACCCTCAGCCACTGCCGGCTGGGGGCGTTGGCAGTTCCGCTGACCAGTTAAGGGGACCTCGGTCTCCTTCTCCGGTCAATTCAAGCAGAACACCCAAACAATGGGCACGCTCCGGCAAGGTTCCTCCAAAACATATCTCCTGTGCCGGAGCAAAGCCTAAAAGGGCCGTCAGGGCAAGCATACATGGCTCGGGTACGAGCACCACTGTATCGCCTGGCCCGGCCTCCCCAGATCACGGGCACTCCGAGGGGACTAACCGCCACTCTTCAGTTGGCTCTAGTCACCCATGCCCTCCCGACACAGTGCCGAGTACCACTGGTTGCCGGGATGGGCTATTGCACGGGCTACCGGACCGTCCAGGTGCTGAGGTGCTGTCGGCCGGGTACGTTATGAGTGATGCGGAGCTGGTCACCCTGGGGGATCCCAGACCGACGGCCCCCGTTCTATCTCGCTGTGAGGGACCACTCTCGTCATCAAATTTTTTCCGTTGCTCGGGGGTCCCGGTGCCCCAGGTGTCTTCTGACTTGTAGTCAAACACACCCTGGGGCCGTTTTTCAAAGAAGAAGAACAAGAAGAAGAAAGCTGATCGCCGATCACGCCGTTCTTCTTCAGATTCTGACGTTTCCTCTGACCGGTCCCACCGGGGCAAACGCTCCTGACGTGAGGACTTGATCTCGAGGTCTGTTTCCTGCAGGCATTTCAGTCGATTTTACCTACACTCTCGGCTATGTCTGCAGGACGCCAGGCGGGCCCTAATGGTGGCCCCCCTGGAGTGGGGAGCCACGCCCCACAACCCTCGGTTGTTGGTCTCGCCTCTAAGTCTCCGGTCACCGGTCACGGTTGTGTGACCCGTGACCAAAGGGACATACCGCACACAGTTAGCCGTGCTCCGGGAGTCCTTATCTGCAGTGAATGCTTTATAGTCGTCATTCATTGGTCATGATTGCGTGGCCCAAGCACAACGAGGTACACATGTACATGTACAAAAATGAAAAAACACATGTTCATACATGTTCATGTTCATGTAAACTGCACACGGTTGCGTGCTACACCGGAAGCCCAGCCTACGGCGAACGAAACTTCACATTCACCAGCTGTGGGCCACGGTCGCTTGGTCCAGAGACAACGGGACCTACCGCACACAGTTAGCCGTGGCCGAGGATCCCCGCTTGTGTTTAGTCTTCACCCATCTGCATAATATTAGTATGTCTATTATTTCTGAGGGTGTTGCCCAGCCACCACCGCGTGGTTCTGTTCTATAGCCCCTCCAGACGGCTCTCAGTCACTGGGGTCAACTTGGCCTTAGCATTCGGCTGATTCATCCGATGATGACGAAGAATCAGACCGGTTACAACGTCTGTCCATCGCGGAAACGGAACTCCGTTTGCTGCATAGGGACATTACACGGGTACTTAAATTACCCTCCTACGATGAGCCCCCTCAGCCTAATCACAAATTTTTCAAATCAAGCGCAGGACAGGCTCCACATCTAACAATGACAAGGTGTTCCCCATACCTCCGTTGGATCAAGTGTGAAACACATCGACAATTAACGGACAAAATGGTGTCCATATTTCTCAGGCGGGAACGGCTTCATTATTTTTTCTAATCTGGGCAAGTTTATTGCACCGATCCCACCGCGGCATACGCTACCGGGATGAGGACTCGGATTTTCGGCCCACTCTTTACAAGCCTTGCAATTGTTCTCGGCTTCATTATCGGTCATATACATTAATACATGTATTACCTGGCGGGCACGTTAATGAAATGGTCCGTCTGAGTTTAGTTGCGAGCCGTGAACTCTGTAGCCCTCTACATTAATCACGGTTGGGTGACTCAAGGACAAAGGGACACGTCGCGCAGTGCTTAGCCGTGCGGCAGTGTTTCTTGCTGTACTGAGATCGCTACATTTTTCATGTACATGTACATTGTACATGTGTGCATTACTTGTGTATGTACACTGTCCATTGTCTCCGAGGGAGTTGTTCAACAACTGACTGTGGCCGTGTGCAACTCGTCCTTCCAGATATGTTTTACGGTTCTCGTTTACGGGGTCTATTCGACTCTTGCATAAGGATGGCAGCTGCTCTTTACAATGAAACCCAGCCTGAGCATAACCTCAGCAACTGGGTGTTGTTCAGGCATGTTGTGGACCACATTCGAAAGATTGTGGCTGTATTCAAACTGCCTGCTGCTCTTCAAGCAATTATGTGATCAATACCATTTTCCGTTAGTGAAATTCGGTATTTTTTGTCACATCTTCCCTCTTCAATGCAGCTAAGCACAAGCTACCAGCAGAAGAGGGACCTCATTATTCAAGTGGCCCTTCGTAAATAATACTTGCAGAAGTTTGAATACACTTTGCAGTAGAATTAAAGTGGGTTCGGCAATACGCGTTCAGCCTTCGTCTTTATCCTCATGAAGTACATTAGGTTTAATGCTTTAATCTTGACTCGACAGTCTTAGTGGACGTGTTGACCGCTATTTTCACTGTCAATTTCACGGTCTGCACTCTGCACTCAATACTATTTTACAAGAGTGCAGACCCTAGCAATCTTGGCCTGCCGGGGTTACATGCTTGATGAACTGTTTCTCCCGTCAAAAAATAGGGCGCCCGCCAAAGATTCGAGTCCCACCTTTTAAGTTTTGACGGACAAAGATCTTTTCTTTTGCAGTGGATATCGATGTTAATTAACATCCATATTGGTCGATGTCGACTACATGCACTCAAATGGTCAATCTCAGAAAGCCATCAACCCCATGGTCAGGCCAGCACAGGTGGAGAACAAACTGTTGTTTGTTTTCTCAACTGCAAACCTCTTGAATTTTTTTCCCAGATGATTTTGTGTGGCCGTGCTAGCAACATTTTTTGTACGCCATTCCACATAGGATAAGGCCTTCACTGGTAACAACAATTTCGATAGGTTTCAGTTGTTTTGATGACTTCCTCCACCCATCTGTCTCGTAGGAGCTCGTCAGAGAGACTTTGAGGCTGACATCAATACCATCGGGCCGGCACAGTGTTGCGCCTGTCTTGTATTTCCCTTGGGAAGATGTTGATGAGATTTAGTCGACTGTTTAACACATCAGCATGGGGAACGAGCCCTGGCCTGAAGGGTACACAACTGCAACTCATTTTCAGGCCAGAGCACTGAGAATTTCGCGGTTTTCAAACAAAGATTCTCGCTGCAACTTCATGGTGGCTCCATCCAGCCTTTTTTCCGCCTCACTCCTGGCCTCTGCTCAGATAGTAAAAGCGATTTGACTGCGCCGTGAAAACAAAGATTGGTGGCATTCACCTATTTTCTTGTATCGGCCCAGTCTTCACTGCATTCAGTGCAGGCCATGACCTGACTTGTGCAGCGCCTCCTGTGGTTCGACGTTGCCAACCTCACAAGGGTGGGCCTCTCACAGATCCCAGCCTTCACTAACTGTCATGGCAGACATTGTACCCTGCCGGTTTACTAACCACCACCCGCATCTAGTGGCGGATTGGTGAGGCCCTGTGTGAGCATCGTTCAAGTTCCATTAACATACTTGAGATGCTGGCAGTCTCGGAGAAACTGCGACGTTACTTTCTATATTCGGTGATGTGCCAGATGATCCTGGTTCGATGTGACTTTGACACGGTTGTGGTTTACATCGACGACCTGGTGGGCAGGCAGCCTGCACAACTGTGTACACTCACTTGAGAAATACCCCATTGGGGTTTTTTCCTCATAGCTTGATCTTGCTTTCGACGGTCCTCATGTCAATCTGACTTGTTTCATGAACTAGTCACAGATGTCCAGGCTAATGCCCGAGGGTTCCTGACCCCTGCACATGGCACACGAATACGATGGTGATGAAGACCGACAGGCTACTTGTATACACCTTCCTGTCATCTTCCTCTTATCCCTTGGGTACTTAATCAACTGGAGTAGAAGGATGACAAGGTCCTCTTCTTTACCCCATGTTGGTCCCATTGATTGGTTTCCCAGGGCTACAACCATTCCCTTGGTTCACCGGTTGGAGGTACAAATGTTCTTCCGAGGAGAACAATATTCTGTTCCAGCACAGCTTTGGTTTCCTTCACCCTGCTCCGCAGGAATTTCTCCTGATGTGCTGGATGCTGTAATGCAATCCCTTAGCACATCAGACCTTTCTAAAACAAGCTACAGCTTTTACAGCCTGCACTTGAGGGACTTCTAACACGACAGTAGATTACTTTATGTTAGTCAGTCGAACCTCCATGTCAGTTAACTTATTAAAGGGGATGTTTTATTAAACACCCTTGAATTGCAGGACCTCTTCAACACCTTTCTTATCCAAAAGTGTTATAGAGATCTTTAGTTCTGTGAAACCAGTGAACAATTTCACATCTGTTTCATTTGTCCCTACAGTTGCCTTTTTTGTAAACAGTTGTTACTTCTTGATATACATGAAGTAAAGAACTGTTTTCTGTATAATAGAGATGGACGACATCTGGTGGGAACCGAGTGTGCCCATCCGATTCCTACGGGAGGATTTTTGTTTTTTAACTAAGACTGTCGGAGTCCTCTTTACCTCCGGACATCTTTGTTCCAGGCATCAAATCATTGTCCATTCCAGACGGAAAATGTTGGTGCCGATCATGACTTTGACGTCTGATCCCTAAGGAAGGTTTTTTGAACTAAGACAATTGAAGTGACATCATGATGCCATCATCATGGGTCACGTGACGTCTCGTTAAGATATTCAATCATTAAAAATCAATATAAAATCAACCGTGAGAGACCTGAACATGACTTTTGTGGGAATTGATACAATTATCGAGGGTCTTCATTTTTTATATTATGTGAAAAATCATTTGACCCTTTCTTCTGGTTGAAACCGGAAGTGCCTTGTAATTTAAAATTGGTGAAAGATGTGAACTTGCTTTTAAAGATGTATGCTCTAGCTATTGTTCTTTTCCATAACATTATAGTTATAGATGAAACTTGATGTGTACGTCATCATGATGTCATCACGTTGCATGTGATGTCATAATTCAAAGCCCTATGAGAATGTAATCACATATTATGTATATGCCACCATTTATTATAAACAGAACTACGCATCCTTTCTTGATGGAACATATTACTTGAAACTTTACATGTCACATGTCACAAAAGTTACTGAAACAGCCCTGTGTTTGTCCACAAACATAAATGTAGTTTTTTTTTCTTTTTCGGTCATTTTGCCCATAGCATTTGTACACGTTTTTTGGTTACCGGCACTTTGGGCACTAAAATAAATCTAATTGACTTCATACTTGGCACACACTTAGACCAGCATCTGAAGTTGTGTGCCGAACATAGACAACATCGTGACGTCATCATGAGTCGCTTGACGTCGCAATTTTTCTGTCGTGACCATTTTCTAGCAGAATTCGGCTAGGTCTCACAGATTGGGCTATATCTCCAGAACTGCAGGTCCGATTGGGATGAAAGTTGATATGTACTTAGATTGGGATGTGTTACAGATGAAAATTTAAGTGACGTCACGATGACGTCATCACGTGACATGTGATGTTATATTAAAGTTGCATATTTTGAAGGCCAATATCTGCAGAACTACAGGTCTGATTGGGTTGAAACTTGGTATGCACCTAAACTGGGATGTGTTGTAGATGAAAATTTAAGGGATGTCACAATGAGGTCATCATGTGACATGTGACGTTATATTAAATTTGCATCTTTTCAAGGCCAATTTCTACAGAACTACAGGTCTGATTGGGTTGAAACTTTGTATGTACCTAAACCGGAATGTGTTATAGATGAATATGTAAGTGACGTCACGATGACGTCATTGCGTGACATGTGACGTCATTGTAAATGTGCATATTTTGAAGGCCAATATCTACAGAACCACTGGTCCGATTGGGTTTAAAGTTGGTATGTACCTAGACCGGGATGTGTTATAGATGAAAATTGAAGTGACGTCATGATGACGTCATAATGGGTTACCTGACATCTAGTTACAGATTAATAGATTTGATCTTTAAAAATCAATATGAAATCAACTGTGAAAGACCTGAACATGAGTTTTGCGGGATATGATAGAATTATCGAGGGTCTTCATTTTTGATATTATGTGCAAAATCATGTGACCCTTTCTTCCTGTTGAACATATTGTTTGCTAGTGACTGATTTCATTGAGCTGTTAGAGACAGAAACTTTCTAGGCACAGGAATTATATGCAACGTCAATAAAAATAGGTTGCCAGCCAAAATTTGTGTGATAAATATACTGCTTGACAGTGGTTCCCAACTAATGTTTGCCTCATGCACAAGTTGTTCCATAAAAATTGGTTCCTGACACTTTTTTCCTCACTTTTTTGTATGTTTTTGTTTTCTTTTTCTTTTTATCCACAGGAGGGCTCAGTTAATTAAGAAGCACCGTTGGCAATGCCTTCTTTCGTTGATTTCTTCAAAATGAGAGCTTGCCAGAAAGTATAATTTCACAGGGAGTTTAGTCCCCTTACTATCTTTCAACCAGTATGTTTTTCAACAATAATTACGCCAGTTACTTTTTTGGATAGCTGCAAATGATGGACTCGGGCTTTAAGGTGGTTGTACCTTTTCTGTTATTGTTTTCTACTCATTAGCTTAGACATCACATTATTAGTGATGTAACCTATTAAATTTTCCTAACAGCAGCTAGAATGTCTGACATGCACGTCAGAATTCACAGAATTGCCCCTTAGGTTTTTACTTAATTAGGAATTCTAATTATAGAGCTGGCATGTGTAAACCTTTATCGGCAAATTTCGAGTAAAAGCCACACATTTAGCGAAATCTTAATTTGAGGTCTCAAATGCGAAATACATGTGTACAAGTTCAATTTCCTCTTTACGATCTCAGTCAAAAAAATTTCTGTGTTCTTTTTTATTTCAATACCATTACAACTTGAGATACATAAATCCCAGGATTAAACCTAATTGACATTAATTCACATTGCATCCTGGCTATGGATGACAAATAATCAATGCTATTTATGTATTTGTTCCCACTTAACTGTCACCTCACAAATGCATAGAATATAAAAAAAGTTAATTGATAAAGATCATTTTTTTTATTTTAGAAATAAAGAAATAATCTTGACATCTTTATATTAACTGCTCTGCAATGTCCAGGGCCAACTTGGAATCTATTTCAGACTTTTGTCCATTTTTAAGATCAAGCAATTATTGCTTAAAATAAATTTGTTTTCCTAAAGCAATATTTCCCTTAAGGTGGCGTTTAACTCCCCAGCCTAATTTACTAGGAGCCATACCCATTCAGGCAAATTCCAACACCCACATGGGAAATTGTACACACACACTGTTGGACTTAGTTTCTGGAGGTATGCCAACCCCAGTGTAAAAGACCATCAGTTTAGGGGAACTGTACCTATCCCAACAGATTTAAACACTAACCTACTGTTGGAGTTTGATTGGTTATGGGCTGTTATGGTTAATGTAACTTTAAGACTTAGGGGCCCTTGTATCTGGCTTATCTTTGTATCAGACTAATCATTTGCATCCACGTTTTAAGTTGATTTTAATTTTACAATTCCTATGAAACGTGAAGATTTTAAAATCACTTTTTCTTTTAGTAGAACGTTTGATGAAAAATACTTATTTATGGTTCTTTTTTACAATTCCTATGAATGGGAGAGGCTGATTTTAGACTGTCAGTCCGTTCGTTTGTCTTGTCTGTCTGTTGTGTGTGTCTCTTAGTCTGTTGTTTACGTCTCTCTGTCGTGACCGTCGTGCTATTTACATTTTGTGCCGTGTGTGTTGTGTGTTAGTTCATCTGCCTGTCCAGCGTTTGTCTTGAGCTTAATTGTGTGTTTTTGACAGTTTGTCTTTTATCAACCAGTGTGTCTTGTCTACTGTTAGTCCGTTCATCTGTTCGTCTAGTGTATGTTTCCCACTCTGTTGTGTAGATGTAAGTCTTGTATGTCTGTCCATTTATTTATATTCCTATATTAGACAAAACTTGTTCACCGACTTGTATTTGCAAATTTTAAATTATTTTTAAGACTTCAATTTAATTGTAACTGGTTATTTGTAGTTCTGTAATGAAGCGCCTTGAACGTCACTTTTTTTTAATTTTTTTTTTTTTTTTTTTGATATACGTTATGGCTGTCGTGCTGTTAATTCTCTCTGTCATGGTCATCTCTCTGTTTACTTGATTGATGTTCTGTGTCTGTCCGTTTATATCTGCCTGTTTAAGACAATTTTAATTTGTACACATCTTGTATTTTAAAATTTAACTGGTATATCCGTATTTATGTAAAGCGCCTTGTGCGTCAATTTTTAATTGCCTGTTTGTCTTATTCTTATTGCCTATCTTGACAGTTTGGCTGTCTTTTATCAACCATATTATTTTATAGTTATTTTAAAGGTTTTGTCTTGTATAAGTTTTAGTTTATTCTTAAATTTTAACCTGTTCATTTTTATTTCTGTGAAGCGCCTTGAGCGTCAATTTTGACGGATTTTGCGCTATACAAGAATTAGATATTATTATTATTATTATTTTTTATTAAATATTTACATTAGTTTTTGTAACCTAAGCTCCAAAAGTAGATTTTAAAACTTTTGATTTCTTCTCCTTTTTGGCACCTTTGACTTTAATTTTTTGCTTTCCATTATTTTGAAAATATTACGCCGTCAAAAAATGTTTTTGTGGCAATCCAGCTTTGAAAAAATATCGCACAAGTTCCCATGTAATTTTTCAAGCACCTTGCAGCTTTTTGATAGGTCTTTGCTGTTAGTGGTTAAGAGAGTTAATGGTTGCCATGCAGGGAAATAACCTTATTTTTTCTCCTATTTGTCTTCTTTGTTTTGAATTTGCCTTGAATTTTTCCATTATTGGGTAAATATTACACTATCAAAAATATATCATACAAATTTCCCAAAAGCATGTAATTTTTCCAGTCCTTGCAGCATTTTCATAGGTCTTTGCTGGTTAGTGGTTAAGATAGTTAAGGGTTGCCATGCAGGGGAATGACCTCCAATTCTGCAAGGGTCTTTAACTTTTGTTGATACAAAAAGACTTTGGCATGTACTTTCGTGCCATATTGCATTTGCGTTCAAAACTGGATTTATTATAAATATATAATTATTTATTTTAAATGAATTTAAAGACAGTCAGAGGAATCTGATTCCTGAGGTCTAAATATAATGAATACCATTTAAAGTTTTGTTTAATTTTTACTTGAATTAGTTTTGGGTTAGGTTTACTATGCTACTTATGTTTTGTAGTATTAACAACTCAATTTGAAGACTTGAGTCTAGGCATTTATATCCTTCAAGTTTAAGCATCATGCATAATGTTTGAAGTTTATTTAAGATTTCACTTGAACTTTATGTTATTACTGTTGAAAGTATTTCAATGCAGACCCCAAGCAAGTTGGCCCTAGATTTCACTGGTACTTAAGTCTAAAACATAATATTGTTTGATGGACAATGTAAATCAGAATTAATCAGTGCAAACCAAGAGTGGCCTGGATGTCATTGGACAGTTCTGGCATGATTCTTTCTCTTAAAGATCGACTATAAGGTGGTTCGTACTTCTGTACAAATTGCTTGGTTTGTCATCCATACCCAAAGATGCAATGCAAATGTCGAAAGTGATTATTTTTCTTTGCATAATAAGTAATTGCAAAATATAACATCAGAAAATATGAGGGCTTCCCTTTTTGTTTCTATGGTTCTCATTGTTCTTTTTTTAGTGGTCACTTTTCAGAGAATTAAAATCTGAATAAAAATACAATTCAACCTGTTATTTACTGATGCAAAGTGTGCCTTGTCTGATGTTTTTATGCAATTTTTTTGTATTAGTTTATGGTGTATTCACATCAGTGGCGTAATCAGAAGGGGGGGGGGGGGCGCAGAGGGAGTACCTTGCCCCCCCCCAAATATTTTCAGCAGTTATTTCAATAAATGGTTAGAGATTTCTGACATCAATTCCAAAAAAGATAACCCGCTCAATAACCATTACAATGCAACGTGAAAATGGGCATATATCATTTGCAGTATAATGGTAAGTTTTTAAAGAGCATCCCCATTTGAGCGATGGGTACAGCCCCCCCCCCCCCCCAGCCCCCCCCCCCCCCTTTTAATTTTATGGAGGCCAAGTGTCCTGAGAAAAAAGTCTTCATTTCGGCGCGGATGTGCGATTGGCCCCCAACATCAAAAGCTGGATACACTACTGATTCACATCATCAGAAATGTTACATTTTGACGTAACATCTTTTTGTGCCATATATCTGTTGGCTGTGTTTGAAATTCAATACATTTCATAAGCTAATAAACTACACTCATTATTTTCCATAATAGGACGTTTTCAGATGGATGTATTGCACAAAATAGTGACTATTTCCATATTTAGAGGTTGGTGTCCCCATTACACGTGAAACCAGCAACTTTTATATAACGGATAGCATTCAAAGTGTCTAAATTTATTTTAGTATTTAATCATACCAATTACTTTATCAAATAAATGGATTTCAAGCATTTTTTGTAAGTGTAATCTTCAAGATATTTATAACAAAACAGATTGTGATTTCACGTGTAATGGGGACACCAAATTTAGTGTACCAGTTTCACGAGAAACAATGTTGTTCATGCCAAGGGCGGATCCAGGGGGCCGAAGGGGGCCACCCCCCCCCCCCCCAAAAAAAACCTAATCCATTTTTAAAATTTTTTTTAGTAACTTTGCAATAAAGGCAGGCAATGAGTACACCACCATCTTTTCCACACAAAACATTGGTTAAAGTGGTCGGAAATTGCCTCAGATTGCACCACGGAGCATCTAGAATCCAAAAAAATTCAGGGCCGCACGCCGTAATTTTTTGGACACACTTCTGGCGTTTTTTTTGCCCCCCCCCCCCCCCCAAATTGTGTTCTAGATCCGCCCTTTGTTCGTGTATGAAGATGAGAAATTTGATTTGTACAATTCATGTTTTGAGGGACGAGGACAACATTACCACATACTGAAACTGCAAAGAGTGCAGAAAATATAAATGTACAAAGTCATGCATTGGCACCCTTATTTATGGAAATACCAGTGTACATGTTGACCTGAACCCTCTTCCTATGATTCCCTGTTTGTCACTCAGGAAAATAATTTTCATTGGAAGTCAGACTGTTGGCACACAATGAACGCATTTCAGTGAATTTGAAACAGTTAAAAAAAAAGGTTTTTATTTTTTCTTGATCAGGTCTGAACCATCGTCCTCTTTTCTCAAATATGACACCATTCTAGGTGCAATGATTTCACAGGGTGCTTGAACCTGTAATCAAAAAGAAAATTTCATATTAAGTTTGCGGTTTCATTTTTGAATGTTTGCAAATTACCCTAATCAATATAGCCTCTGTATTGGTGACGTTAAACTGTGTTTACTTGTGTGC